ACCAAAGAGGAGGGTCAGACTTTCTTCTGTTGGCTGGTCCAGAAGTGGGGTGCCAAGATGGACCTCTTTCTCAAGGTCAGAGCTCCTGCTGAGATTGCACAGCTTGCTGTCAAATCAAAGCAGTTGAGAGGGCAAGAAGCTCTTGTCATGCAGAGGGTGCTCATGGGCCTGATGCTCTATCTTGGAGGTGGTCTGAGGAAGCAAGTCTTTGTCAACCTCTATGTTGGCCACCTCCAGTGGGATGAGGATGAGATGGTCATGCAGGTGGGAAGGGAAAAGGTGGCTCCTACCAATACCTCCCACTTGCCTCTGCCTCCTCAGCTCTTCACCTACATAGAGTTCTTCAAGCAGAGAGTTCGCCCTTACCTCTGCCCAGACCCCTCTGACCCCCCTCTTGCACTCTGGTTGAGCTCTCATGGTCAGCCTCTTAGCTCTGCCACATTCTCTCAACAGCTCAAGATCCTTATCAAGGACTTCAATCCTGAGCTCACCACCACTGCCATTGACTTCAGGTGCATGACTATCACCAACCTCTTTGCTGGTATGTTTCTATATGTATATATATATAGAGAGAGAGAGATACACCTATATTGTGCTGCTCTTTTGTGCAAAGAGCCTGGTTATAACAGAGGGCTGCAGGGTGTTGGTGCTGGTCATGTCACCCATGTGTCTTGGTACCAGTTGAACAATCTCTCTCTCTCTCCCACACAACAGAACATGTGCCTCTGGAGGAAGGAGAGACCATTGAGCACCTTCACAATAGGTTCAGTGACTACCTGGGAGTCTCTGTCAAGATCATGAAGACTGTCTACAACAGGTCAGATCATCATTCAACAACCAACAACCACAACAAATAACCAAAACCCAACTTGTTGTGTGGTTACTAATTCCTTGTTTTGTGTGTTCCTCTTTGCCAGGCATGACTTGAAGAAGAAGCACAAGGGAACTCTGAATGCTGCCAATGCAGGCAAGGTGCCTGAAGGTGCTCAGACAGCCATGGGCAAGATGGAGGCCAAGATGGCAACAGCAATTGTTGAGGAAGAGAAGCACCAGCACATTGACCTCAAGAAGCGCCAGGCCAGGACAACTGAGGATGATGAGGAGTGGCAGTCAGTCTCAGGCCATCTGCCCAAGAAGAGGAAGAGGAGGGTGGCCTATGAGGATGAGGAGGAGGAAGAGGAGGAAGAGGAGCTGGAGGCAGAAGAGGATTCTCAGGAAGAAGATGAGGGTGAGGATGAAGAGGAGGAAGAGGAGGAAGATGAAGTTGAGAGCATCCAGGAGATGAGGATTGCTCAGTCTGGTGAGCTGGAGCTATGTGTCAGATGGGTGGGCTACTCTGAGGAGTTTGACATGTGGCTTCCCCTCACTCAACTGGGTAATGCCCTGGCATGTGTTGAGGAGTTTATCAAGGCTAATTTCTTGTAAACTCCAGAGAGCAAGTTGCTCTTTCTCTCTCTCTCTCTCTCAACTTCAATAAAAAACACTTAAAAAAAACCATTGTGTGTTACTTGTTTTATTGCCAAGAGTGTTGATTTGTTCTGTTGAAAATCTATTTTGTGATCATAATGAGGTATCATATGATAGTGCTCCTCACGCTCTTCAAGATGATGTGCTATACAGTGAGAGTTACCATGCTATGGCAACATGGCATCATTGCAAAAATGTGGCAAGAGTGTTTGTGTGCTGAGTTAATACACAACATTTACCATATTTCTCAACAACGATCGATCCTACACAACTTTTGAAAACACTATCTTGTAGCACAATATAAGGGCATTCTTTTACAACTATTAGAATTTGCTCAGCTTTGATGGCAAACTGAAACTAGCCCTAACCCTATCTCAAGCCCTCAATGGAGCTTGACGACATCAAGGAGTTTGTTGTCAAACTTTCCAAGGCGAAGCTTGTGTGGATTAATCATCATCATCATCATCATCATCATCATCGTCATTGTCATTGTCATTGTTATCAGCATGGGTTGGGATGCTTGTGGGGAGGGGGCCTGCGCGTCCTTGTCCCCCCCTTGCTGAAACATGGTCACCCATTGGCGGGGGCAGGTGGGGCTTGAGCCACGCCAGGGGGTGGGGGCGGGCAGCCACGCGTGTGGAGCGGGTAGGGGCATGCCGCGCCTCCCCAAGGAGGTCAAGCATGGGCAGCGGGTGAGGCACAGGTGGCGGTATCCGGTGATGTGGGGTCGTATGGGGGGATTGTGAAGATCCAGGAGGATGTTGACCAAGTCGGCGCGCCCTTCGTCCATGAAGTGTCTGATGGAGGCGGATGATATCATACACACGCAGAGGTGTGGGGCGCGGTGGTGGAGGCGCGCGATGATTTGGGCGTCGATTCGTGTCATGGTGGATGCGAGCAGGTTGTGTTGGGTTGGACGTGAGAGCCGGGGTGCTGCTGTGGTGCTGCTGGCCACCTGATGCAACCGCGCGCCCCATGCCGCCTCGCTGTGCAGCACCTCGCGCAGCCACTGGCACGCGCTCCTTGACCCAAATCAAGGACCAAGCGCGTGTCAAATCGCACAGCAGCTTGCGGACCTCATCTTGGCGATAGCCCAATTGCTGGGCAAGGCAGGTCCCTCTGAACAGGAGGACCAAGGAGAACCAGCACCACCACCAGCTCACCACCAGCAGCGCGCCACCACCACCCACCCACCACTACCACAACAAAGAAAATAAGATATTAAATCGAAAACAACAAATATTGCCGGTGGTAAGAGTACATACAGGTGTAGAAGGGAGAAGAAGAAAGAATAGAGCTGCTAGAGGGAGGAGAGGGAGGAGGGACGGAGGAGAGAGAGTTATGAGATGGTCTCAGACCTTGTGGGACTTGCCCCAGGTGGGTCGGTTGCGTGTCTTGCTGTCCTTTCGCTTTGGCGGAACGGGCGACGTCGTGGTGGAAGAAGCATACTGGGAGGATTCGCTGGCCGCGGGCAGCAGCTGGGTCTCCTCGGTAAAGCCACCGACGCTTTCACTGAGGCGCAGGAGCTGGTAGGGGTCGATGTCGGCGATTCCCATGCGACGTCGGCCCAGCGCTTGCGCCTGTGATTGGGCATCGGTCGGTTCTTCTATCGCCCTGGCGGTGGTGCTGTCGCTTGGTTCTTGCGTCGCGTGGCCAGCTGCAACGAGTTGCGCATGAACTGAGGGATGCGGTGGTAGGGTGTCTCTTCGTTCTGCGCTGTGGTGGCCTCGGCTGGGGTCCCTCGCGTTGGCGCGTGGAGCTTGCCGGCGCCGCTTATGCTGTTGGCAAGCGCTCGGGTAGCGCCACTGCGCTTCTTCCCTCTCGCCATCATCGCGGTGTATTGCGCCTCCTTGGTGGCCTTGGTTCTGCTGGGGGTGGAGGAGGGGGGCGGAGATGCTAGCAGCTGGCCCTTGATGGTCGAAGAAGAGAGGCCACCGCCGCCGGCCTTGGCCTCCTCGGCCAGCGCAGAGAAGAGCATCTGCGAGTGTAGCGGCGCTTCGGCCGACCGCGGACGCGCCCGAGACTTCTTGCTCTTCTGTTCCTTTTTGCTCTCCTTGCTGCTGCTGCTGCTGCTGCTGCTGACGGCATCGGGGGTCGACTTCTTCCTGCGTGCCGAAGCAGGGGCCTTCCACGAAGAGAGCGCGGCAGCCCAGGCGGCCTCGTCGTAGGACTGCGATGTCGCGTCGAGCCGGTCTTCGATTTTGTTCGCGCTGCTGAGATCGAGCATGGAAAACGAGAGGCCCATGCCGGGCATCATCGCCACCGACCCAAACGAAGCCGAGTTGTATGGTGACGGCGATGGAGAACCCGTGATGGCCGCCATCTCGCGCGACTGCTGCCTGGTATTAGGCGATGCGCCCTCGGCCACCGCTTGTGCGGGCTCGGTGGGCGTAGTAGTCGTCGTCGTCGTCGTCGTTGAGTACGATGGCAGCGGCGCTGGTCGCGTTATCACCGACGTTGATGAGGCGTAGGGTACGAGCGCGGCAATGGACTGTGCCGACGCCATGAGCTCCTCGGCCACCAAGGCGGCGATGTCGGTCGGGACAGACTGCGCGACGGGAGAGGAGGAGGCTGCGACGAGAGAGGCCACGGAGATTCCGCCAGAGTCAGACAGCGGCGACGGTGGAACAAACGCCGTGGCGGAGAAGGCAGAGGTGGTCGGCGAGGTGGTCGGCGAGTAGGTGGAGAAGGAGATGCGCCGCGAGGGAAAGAGAGACTCGAGCGTTCGATAGATCTCTCGGAAGGTGGGCCGATCGTCGGGATTCTCCTGGAAGCAGGGCTGGATGATCTGCGTGAAGATCTCATCGGGGCAACCATCGGGCTTGCTCAGCCTGACGCCCCGCCGCACAGCATCGACCACTTCCATCGTCGTCATTCCGGCGTAGGGCAACGCACCAAAGCTAAAGATCTGTCTCCGACACACACACACACACACCACACACACCCCAAGAAAACACGGCAGACAAACAGCTGATCAGGACCCACGCACGCACCCACGAAGTAGATAAAAGAAACAAACTTCCACCTAAAGGACGATGGCTCGTACCTCCCACACAGTCACGCCAAATGACCACACGTCGGCTTTGTCAGTGTATGGTTTACCTGTGAACACCTCGATGGCTGGAGGGAGAAAGGAGGGAGAGAAGAGAGAGAGAGAGAGAGAGCTCTCTATTAGCTTTCATGCGCTTTGAAACCACAACACTTAGGAGAACCAAGGGCGCAAGCGTACCGGTCCAGCGCACAGGAATACTTTTCATCTGCTGTGGGTTTAGCTCGTCGGTGGAGAGCTTCGACAGGCCAAAATCGCACACTTTCACGCAGTAGACATCGGACCGCTTAATCTCGAGGAGGAGGTTGCGCGCGGCCAAGTCTCGATGGATGATTCCGTGCGCCGCGAGGTGGTCCATGCCTGCAGCTAGATCCTTGGTCATCTGGATCAGCGACTCAACGCTGATCGCATCTCTGTTAAATGCATATAACAGACATTGGGTGAACCAGCAACGTCAGCAAGAGTAGGGGAGGGGAGTTTGGGAGAAGCAACACTCTGAGGACATATGTCCAGCGGCTTCTTAGTTATTAAGCACGTGCATACCGGTTTTGAATCAGATGCTTGTCAAGCGACCCGTCGGCCATGAATTCGGTGACGATGTACAGCTGGTCTCGACCTTCCGCAAGGCCGAAAAAAGTCACCACATTCGGGTGCGCCGGTAGATTTCTGAGTGCATGGAAGAGGAGACATCAATACCATACGGCTGTAGTATGTTTTTCACGGCACACGCACACAACGCGCGCCCCACAATCCTCTCGCACTGTGATTGGTTGAGAGAGAGAGAGAGAAGACGTACGACATGATCTGCGCCTCGGCAAGGAACGATGTCTTATCGGTTGACCGCACCGATTTGATTGCTACGGTTGTCGTTCCTCGTAACCGTCCCTGAGAAGAGATTCGAATTACTCAATCACGCAAAACCGGGGGAGAGGCAGAGTGAAGGGAGGATGGCCGAAGTACCTCCCACACATCGCCGAATGCACCCATTCCTAACTTATTTACAAAGGATAGGTCGTTTGGACTAATTGTAGCTTTTACCGCTTCTCCTGTTGATGATAGCACGTGAGATGTGAGCAGAATACCTTAAGTGGTCATGCATGAACACGCCCGCGCGTGAAGCTCAGAGAATAGGTCATGTTCCCGTACTCTTCGAGTTCTCCTGTGCTCGCTGTATGTAATTGTAGACGGCCAATCGTATGGAAAGGGGTATGCCGAGCTCCTAGTAAGAAAAAGAAGCGGATTGGTGAGAAAGATCCGAAAGGGCCGGATGAGAAGATAAGTGTGAAAGACGAACCTGGAGATCATCTTTGGTGAGGTGTTGCAGCACCTCGTATGAAATATTCGCCTCTAAAAACAGTTTCTCTCCCTCCTTGCCCAAGTTAAGACTCCTCACCATTTCGCCGATTCTCGGGTCCAGGCATGGCTGCTCCACGACCTCTTCGTCGACATCTGCTTTCGCAAGCACCCGCGTGAATCAATGCAAGATGGGAGTGTAAAGACTGAAAGCATACCTTCGGAAGAACCGCCCTTTTTGGTCTCTGGGAGAAGGAGGAGCGGCGACGGAAGCAGCAGCAAGGTGTGGTTCTGGCCCACGGCAACTTGCAGTGGTTTCACATTCGTTGTGGCTTCCAAGGGCCGCGCCAATTCCTGTATAACGTTGCTTTTGCTCATTCCCGCTGCATCCGGGTGAAGGCACACCACGACACGTCGGCCCATGCAAGCGTCAACGAATGAGTCTCGGGCACGTGTAAGCACGTAAAACACGTAAAAGTAGCTGAAGCGAGAGCGAGGTAGGAAGCAGAGGGGGGAGGAGAGAGAGAGAGAGCTCACAAAATGAGGGAATTGTCTCAACGCACCCGTGTTGCCGGAACCGAACGCATAAATGCCACCAGTCTCGCTCACCGCAATTGAGTGCTTCTCGCCGGCACCCACAAAATCTATCTTCACGCCAGCGAGCGCATCTATGAAAGCCGCATCCCACACGAGCCTCTTTTGGCCCTTGCCTAGCCCTGCGTGAGGATAACTCCAATGAGACTCGGAATCTCGGCGTCAAGAGCACTGAGGGGCTAAAAGGCACCTAAGCAGCCAGCGCGGTTTTTGCCCATCGCGTAGACGAGCCCATCGATGGTGAGCAACAGCGTGTGCTTCTTGCCTACGGCAATGCTCTTCATTTCGAGGCCGCTGACTGAGTCGACTCGTCGGGGAACAGCGACCACATTACGCTTCTCATTCGATGCTGATGACATGTCAACAACATAGAAACCACAAACCATCAGCCGTGAGTTGCTGTTGTCTCCTCGCGGTTTGCGATGAGCGTGCACCGCACGCACGCCCGCACACGCGCGAAAGGGGAAGATTGCGGTCGTACATCGAGAAAGCCACGAGTAGGACTTGGTGAGATTGTTGTGCCCGAGCCATGGCCCATTCGCCCCGAACGAGTAGGTCTTGCCCTCTCGATCAATAGCGAAGCTGTGATTGTACCCGGCGGCGATGTAGGCGACTTCCTGAAGTGAGTCAACTCGGGTCGGCTTTTTATGATCCTCCAAGCTGTCCACTCCCAAGGCCCCATACATCCCCTTGTCATGTTGTCACGTGTGATGTGTTGTTAGCGATGTAATGCACGCGTGCTCTGCACTGCCGCCGCCGAGAGGAGTTCGTTTGTACCAAGCCGAAGGCAAACATTTCCCCACCCTCTGCTCGAGTTGAACCCACCCAATGCCGATTGTTAGCTCAGCCACGTCCACGCCTTAAGGAGGAGACTAAGGGGGAACCGGTACCGGTGAGGAGAAGGCTGTGATGCTCGCCGACAGCCACCTGTGTGAGGATTGTCTTGGACAAAGCGGGAAGAGAAACAAGCTTCGCTGTGTGGCAGTTCTCCGCGTTTCCATGACCCAGCTTCCCATGTCGCCCTAAGGTCAAGGGCTCCACCGATAAGAAGGGGCTCGAGAGAGAGAGAGAGAGAGACACCGAAGGCAGAAAGGACAAAAAGGAGAGAGCGCGAGATAGCAGCAGCAAAAAAGGTGCCGTTGGCGGAAGGGATGCTTACCGTCACCAACGCTGTAGACGGCTCCGGTTTCTGTGAAGGCACACATACGCCCACAGCCCACGTGGCTTTGACATCAGAGATACGCGCCAGGCAGGGGTTAGTGGGGAGGGGGCAGCGTACGGGTTAGAATGAGGGCGTGAGTCATGCCCAAGGCAATGTGGCTCACTCGCAGGCCAGGCAAAGGGAAGGGCTGTGGGGAGGTCCACCGGCCCTCTTGTCCCAGCAAAGCGCCTACCCGGCCCCAGCCCAGCACCGTTCCATCTTCTACACATGTCCGAATAGAAACAACCGTCCAAAATGAGAAGCATAGCCAACCCCCATATCGGAAAATGAATCATTCGAATCAGCAGAAGGAGCAATGCGAACGGAATCGAGGTAGAAGGAAAATTTCAAGAAATGAAGGAGAGATTTGAAGCTTGGGGTGGGGGGGGCTAAGGTACGGACCAGTGATGGCAAGAGAGGAGTTGGGGCCAGCAAAAAGGGCCACGAGATGGTGGGGATGGATGGGGGGGAGATCCACTCGGTCAGGCCGCCGGGCAGGGGCGGCAGATGTGTTCCGTCCCAGTTCTCCGCATACATTCGTACCGAAAGAGTAGAGGAACCGTTGACGTGGAGGCCTCCCCACCAGCGGTGAGGAGATGACCGAGGACATACACACGTCTGGCCCTAAACTCTCTCTCTCTCTCTCTCAATCTGTCAGAGAGATCTCCACCCAAAAACAACCTCCTCTCCCCGCCGGGCGTCACCCAATTAAGGTGGCGGGAGTGGTTGCTAACGCCACAGTCCCTTTCAGGAATAGAGAGCCCTTGTCCTTTTTGCAGTTCACCGTGGCCCGGTGTCTTCCAAAAAGGGTCCCTTTTTGCCAATACCAGACGGTGACATCATCCCTTATCCTTTCCACGACAACACATCGGTGGTGAAGATACATCGGTGGTTCAAGGATGACCCGGGTGGTTTCGAGAGGGAAGGAATTGTCTTCTTGTACTGGCAGCGGACTGAGGTATTGAAGAAGTGGGCGTTTCGCCTGTTTGGTTTTGTTGCCTGCCGTCAACCGCACGCGTTGCCCTTTAAGAATATATGGTGATAAAAAACATGAGCAAAATGCTTGTGTGGCGAGGAGCTGTTATCAGAAACCACACTAGAGGAGCCAAACGGTGCCTGGTTTTATCCCATCTACCCAATCAGGCAAATTTATTTCGAAAATTAAATCCCAAATAATACAAGGGGCAGTTCTGTGCAACACCCCGACACCGCCACACGACGTGCAAGCAAGAGGAGGACCTGGGACAAGGGGAGGAACCATGGATGCGGCATGGGCAGAACACATAAATCTCCCGCAAGGGGATGAAAACGAATCAGCACGCGAGCCAACGCATCGCGCGCGATCCGTTTCTCGTTCTCAGTCCGAGCCCGCTCTCGGGTCTCTCCGTGAGTTGGAAGGGTGGTTGACCAAGCAAGGTGCGTACGCCTCTCTCCTCTCCATTCGAACACCCCCCCCCTAATATATTTAATTTTCTTATTATTCTCCCTTTCTTCTTATCAACCCCGACCGGCTCTCGTCTCTTGAGGTTCGCACTGGCGCACTTGGAGAGAGCGGTGGTTTCGCCTCTGCACCGCAACGGGGCAGCTGCACTACTTCAAGCTCATGCACGTACGTTGTGCAACCCCTCCCTCCTCTGGTGCTTCAGACCGGTTTGTTTGCTCCAAAGAAAGCTCGGCACGGGCATCACCGCTGTCGTGGCGCTCGGCATGCACATGTCCACCTTTCCACAAATATGTCCACTTCTGTTGTTCCAATTTCGTCTCTCTCTGTGTGGTGTGTGTTGCACCAGGACACGCAACCGCTCGGCTCCATCTCGCTTGAGGGAGCGAGGTTGGCCCTCGACGAAGGCAAGTTTTGGCGCGGAACCTATGGGTACGGGTTTACTCACCCTCATGACAGCTGTATTATAAACACACACTGGTCTTGTCAAAATACGATCCGTGTGAATGCCGACGCGTAGTACTAAGCCGTGGATCGGTGGCAGGTGGGTCATCTATGTCGAGAAACCGAAGAAGAGGGAGTTTCTCCTCTGCACGAAGCAGCGGCAGAGCAGAGACGAGTGGATTAACGCCATTCTAGCGCTGATCAACCACAAAACGCCGGGCCTCGCGTCCCCTCTGGCCTCTTTCCCGTCTGGCCTGTCCTCCTCTGTCTCCTCCCTCGCCGCGTCGTCATCCTTTTCCGGTTTGAAGAGCTCTACCACCGAGAGGGAGAGCAGCTTGTCAGACAGCGGCTACGTCAATCTGAGCGTTGAGGAAACACCCGCATTCAGCGAAACATCGACAGACGCCGGCCACTGGAAGCGGTATGTTCACATCCTTGCTCACCTCCTAGCTAGAGTTTTTATTATTACTCCGAGCTCTTTTTCTCACATGTTCGTCTATGTGAAACAAATAGCACGCTTTGGATTGCGGCTTACAAAGATGACGGCCGCACCAGCGTGGCCGACGAAACGACGAAACGATTCGTGGAAGCGGATCCTTACGAACACGACGAGCAACTTATGCCCGGTCTGATGGAAGTAAGTTGTTGCTCCTGCCTTTGCTGCCAATTTTCGCTGACCGACTGTGCGCACTCCTGCACTATATGCAGCCACGAGGGGTTCTTGGCTTGCACAACAAGAACTCGTCCACTCCAGTGCCAGTCCTGGCGGACCTCTCCGATGGCTATCTGGCATACGCGCAGCTCATCTTTCACGTACGTGTCCACCCCGCTCCACCTTTACCGCCCACATACAACATAGATCCTTGTCATTGACCCTGCTGCCTCGTGGAGCTCACCTTCCAACATGGTGGTGTTTGGTGCAGGGAGCTGATTGCGTGGAACACGGCTATTTACAATCGTTGAAGGCGAAGGAGGAGCAAGAGCGAAAGGAGCGAGAGCGAGAGCGAGAAGAAAAGAGGTTGCACAGCGGCGGAGACATCCGTGAGAAGGACGACAGGGAACGTGAGGATACTAGCGCGTTTCCTGCCGTTGCTAAGCGTGTCCTGTTCAACGGTACCGTCAGTATCATTCTTTCGACGGCGCTGTGGGCTCCCCAAATGTTACCGTCTCACTTTCCGTCACTACGCGCGCGCGGGGTTTGTCAGGCACTGAGGGTTGGGTGGTGTGCCTGATGATGAAGAACTTTGGAATCGTACGGCTCGCAGCCAACTCCTTCGAGGAAATCCAGGAGTGGACTCGCTTCCTCCTTTCGCCACCCACCACCAACCGACGCAGCACGACCGTGAACGGTTTCTTGTGGATCGGTACACGTCTCCTCTCTCTCTCTCTCTCTCTTCGCTGCCGGCATGGTTGGATCCGCGCGATCCTTACGTGCGGCCCTTATGCAACGACTGAATTCCTTCGTTCCTCCTTCCGCTTGTTCTACTCTTTTCTCCACTTGCAGGCAAGGTCAAAGAAAACAGCTGGGAGCGTTTCTACTGTGTTTCGGACGGCTCTAAATTCGAGTACTACAAGATCAAGAACGTCGTACGTCCCATCTTTCACCTCTCTTTAGTTGTGCTCCTGCGCCTCACCAATTGTCCGGACTGTGCTGCTGCTGCTGGGCGCCTTCATCAACTGTCGGCGTACTGGAACACAGGAGCTGGTGAGCCTGGCGACGATCACCAAAGTGGATACGAGCTGGCTTGTGCACGGGGTACGCGATCTCTGCTCCTCTTGGGGCCACACACAGTGGTCGGCGCACCCTTGCTCACCAACACTCGCAAACGTGGCTCATCATGACCGGTGACAACAGGGCTCGCGCAAGGGAACCGCCAGCAAGCATTTGGTCGACATCAAGAACTACAACTATGCCGTCAGCGTGCACACTGACGCTGGTGAGGCCGGCAAAAAGCTGAGCTTCATGACGCAGGTTTTTGCCCTCGGCCCTCCCTTTTGGCATGAAATAGTATTGCTGTGCTGACAACCGTTTGCCATGTTCTTCATGCCACGCATATATGCGACCGCCACCAACGCAGGACGAGGAACAAGCGTTCTTCTGGAAAATGGCGCTCGAAAAGGGTCCCTCATCGCGCGTCGACACTGCCAAGACGGTCAGCCTGCTCAAGAAGAGCCTGGAGAGCATGAACAACCACATCCGCGACGAGATCCAGATGCGCAGTGCCGAACACGGGCCGGCCCTCGCCCGCGCCAACAGCGAGCTTACCACCTCAGCCCCCGTCGCTTCTTCGATGGCGCACCGCTCGCCCGTGCTTCACCGTGCGACCTCGGACCTCCTGCCCCTGGGCTCCGCGAGTAGTGCCGTCCGGTACTGCATTGCTCTGCACCCTCGCTCTGTGCGCCGTTTTCTCAATGCCCCGCCACTAACGCCTTTTCCTCTGACCCTCCTCCAGGGCCGCTGCGCTCGCTGACGCGCTCGTTAAGCACTATCTGCACGCCGAAGCCGCCCTTCAGGTAACTTTTTTCTTCCATCCACCTCCGAAGACCGGCGCGGCCACAGACTCTGTGTGCTCGGTGTGGTGTGTTGATGATGTTTCTTTTCTTCGCCTGGTAATACAGGGAAGCGTGTTTCTCCAAACGCATTTGGATCACATCACCAACATGACCCGGCGCCTCTGTGAACGGGGCGACGAGGAAACAGGCAAAACGCCACGTACGCCTCGACGCCCCCTCCTCTCCCCCACAACACCCACCAAGGTGCAACCAACCCACGCCAACCAACTAACACAGTCACTTCGTGTATACGCAGTCGGCAACTACCCCGTGAAGAAGCCCGTGGATGTGGGTGATGGACACTACCGCATCCTGTCCCTGGATGGCGGTGGACTGCGCGCCATCATTGAGACCGTCATCTTGTCTCGGTTGATCGAGGTGTTTCCTGATCTGTTGCAGAGGGTCGATCTCATTGGTACGCACGCGCCTTTCGGATCTCAACTGCGCCGTACGCAATTCTAATGGTAGGGTGCAAACCAAATCTCTGGCGTGGTGCTGCGCAGCCGGTGTGTCGGGCGGAGCCATGGTGGCCTCGGGCCTGGTAGTCGGTACGTTCACAGTTCGCCGGCTAGCCCCTCCCAACCACACACCGTGGGTCTCACTTTCTCCGAATGCAGGCCGCTCGCCCAGCTTCATCTGCGAAATGCTCAAGACGTTCGCACCTCACTTCTTCAAGCCCAAGACCAGGCACACCGTTCAGGTACCACCTCTCCTCTCTCGCTCTTCCGGGATGCGCGCGCGCTCCAAGACTGAAGCCATTACGCTCCGCCGTAATACGCTGCAACAGGGTCTGGCCCTGAATCAAGCCAAGTTTTCGAACGAGCCGTTGACGATCTTCGGTGACGAGATCTTCAAGCACGTGTCCATCAAGGACGTGCCCAAGCGCATCCTCATCTCATCGTTCCTCGTGGGTATGCGCCTTCTCTCCCTTCCCCCCCCTGGCGCTTGCGCGCTCTTTGGCTAATTTTCGATGCATCACCGCGCAGACAACGAGGAGGAGGACGAGGACAGGAGCTGGGAGCCCCGCATCTACCACAACATTCCCCTGCGACCAGGTACTCTCACGCTCCCACTCCCGCCCCAATCGTTTGCTTTTTGTCTCTGTGCGCGCCACCAACGCCAATGCTCGCTGCATACATCAGACCAACGGATCAGCAGCGAAGAGGAGCTGTCGGCGCCCCTCTGGCATGCCGTGATGGGGTCCGCTGCCGCGCCGACCTTCTTCCCCTCCTTCAACAAGGTATGGAGCGCGCACAGAGACCGAATGTGTGAGAGTGAATGCTAATCTCAGGGCGACACTCACTCTTCCTCCCTCCCTCCCTCCCTCCCTCCCTCCCTCCCTCCCTCCCACCACACACACACACACACACACACACAACACACGCATACAATAGCACGTGGACGGCGCCGTGATGGTCAACAATCCTTCACTGATGGCAATAACCATGACCATGAGCGAGCAGGTAGGCTGACTAACCAATCAAACTTTCTGTCGCATGCGCGTGCGCCGCATTGCTAACGCACAGCGGTCGAGGTGCAGGCGCTGCATCCAGTCGAGCCGTCTCGGATTCACCTCCTGAGTCTGGGAACTGGACACGTGCGACAGTTCATCAGCGGCGCAGATCACGACTGGGGCGTGCTGCAGTGGGCGCCCAAGCTCCCCGAGGTTCGTTGGCTCCTCCTTACGGATGCCGCTGAGCCTCTCCCTCGTCCGTGGGTTCTCAACACTTACGTAACTCGATCGCGCCATGTGCAGCTTCTGGTGGCCGGTGGCTTGGGCGCGCAGCTCCACATGGTGAAGATGCTCTTGGGTACATGGCGCACACACTCACACCAGTGCTCCGAAGTGCACTTGGCTAACTGGTTTTTGGGGTTTGCCGTATCACACACAGGGAGTCGATTTCATCAGCTCAACCCGACGTTTGACAAGTTCATGCCCATGGACGACCACACCATCACCAACGAGCTGATCGAGATCGGGATGAAGGTACACGTTAGGCCTGGCCCTCGCTTCTACATTTACTGTTTACGTGCCACTGACCATGTGATGTGTCTCATGTGTACTGCCAGACGGATCTGACGGAGACGATCGCCTGGGTCTCGGAGCACTTTTACAACACGGCCACCACGACCCCGGCGAAGCAAGCGGCAGTTGACGTGCCCAGTGCGCTGCCACGAGTTCCCAAAGAAAAGAGGCGGGGCATTCGGCTCAATCGCACCACGGGCGGAGTGGGCCAAGCCACCACCGACAGCACCAACGACGACGCCGAGCTGCGCTGCGACGTCGGTGCCTGGTACAACAGCGCCATCTCGCCCAAGTTCGAGTAGTGCTGCAACCAACAGCTCGGCCTTTCCGTTTTTTGAAATACATTCGTAACCAACGCACACCACACTCTGAGCGCCGAGTTCTGATCAGCGTTCAAGAAGAGGCGGAGGCGAGGGAGGCGAGGGTCTCGAGCATGCGGCGGGCATCGGTGTCGCCCTGGGCCTCGGCGCGACGGAACCAGAGGATGGCCTTGGTGAGATCAACGCCCACACCCTCACCGTTCTTGTAGATGCAGGCCAGGTTGTACTGCGCGTCCCGCAGGCCCTGCTCCGCCGCCTTCTGGAAGAGCGGGATGGCCTTGTACAGGTCCTGCTCCACGCCCTCGCCGTTCTTGTAGCACATCGCCAGCCGATTCTGCGCACGCGCCTCACCCAGCTCCGCTGCCCGCTGCCACAGCTCGACCGCCTTACGGTAGTCCTTGGACACCTTCCTCCCTGCGATGCGACATAGTGTCGAGTGTGATTCAGCCAAGACCGCGCTGGCCGAGATCGTTTGGGGCGGGTGGAGTTACCGTTGTAGAAGGCGTAGCCCTGCTCGCACAGCAGTTCGGCCTCTTTCTTTTCGCCCACCATGACCTCCTTGAGGCCGTAGTACTCGACCTCGCGCAGGAAGGCCTGTCTCTCCTCCTTCTGCGACGGCAGCTCCGGGCACGTCATCGTCGGGTCGCGCAGGAAGTCCAAGATCACCTGGAAGTGTTGCGGATTCCTGCATCGCTCCCCACAACAGCACACAGCACACTCCATCAGAAAAAAGAACGAAATGCGACAAAAGAGCGAAAAACGCGAAGCAAAGAACAAAGAGAGAGTCCGCGACGTGCCGGTCGATGAAGCAGCGGCCCATGGAGTCCCGCACGGAGCGGTGGCGGCCGGAGAACACTGCCTCGAGAAAGGTGCCATCGAATCGGCAGAGCGTCGAGCGAAGCGTGATGAACTCCTTCCCGCCCACGTTCACCCGCACGATCTCCCCGCTCGCCTCCCCGTTGTCCGTCGCCTCCGACGTCGCAGTCTCCATCCGCTTCTGCTTGCTGTCCTTCCGCTTGGTTCGCTTACTGCCCTCTCCGCTCCCCGACGACGGCACACCCGCGTCCCCGCCGCTTTCCCCCGCACCACACGCGTGCCGACACGTGGGCACTACCGCCGGCGAGTACGCCGCAGGCTGCGGCGGTGGCGGCGGCGCGAGGGCCAACGATCGAGCCGCCGTGGCCGGCGAGGGGGAGGCCGACTCGGCGCCAGCGCCACCGTCAGACGGCAGCGGAGCCGAGGTGAAGAACGAGGCGAGGGGAATGCGGTCGGACGCGGCAGCCTCGTCGACGAACGTGGAGGACGCGGTCGCTGTGGAGGTCGCTGTGGTGGTGGCCGACGGGCCGCTACCGCTGGCCAGGAGCGAACGCAGGAGGGCCTTCACCTCACGCAGCTCCTGCGCCTCCACCCCGCCACCACCACCTCCTCCCCCGACCACAGGCTGGGCGGCGGTGTTCAGATGGTGGTGAAGGAGGTGGTACGGCTGGTGGGGCGGCGGGTAGGCGGCGGTTGTAGCGTCGAAGGAGGGGCGGCGCGCGGGGTGGAGGCTGGGGCTGGGGCTGCCGGCAGCGGAGAAGGAGGACGAGGGGGCGGGGGGTGGTGGCAGGAGGAGGCGGTAGCGGCGGCGAGGGAGCAGGGGCGCCCAGGGGTCGGAGCGCGAGGGCCGCACCACATCCCGGCCGATGCGAAGGGGGCGAAGAGCAGAGTGCGAAGATGAAGAGGAGGAGGCAGCACCCAGATGCTGCTCGGAAGAGGAGGCGTCGTTCATGAAGGGCTGCTCTTCCTCCTGGAGGCCAAGGGCGTGGGGGTGGAGGCAGTCAAGGTCAACGGTGCCCCGGTCGTCGAGGGCGGCCGCCACCTCCACCCCGTCGGGGAATACCACGCACACCAGCTCGCCCCCTATCCGTCCGCTGCTCTCGATGCTCGCCATCATCATCCTTCTTCCTCCTACTTCCTGCACAACGACACAACTTCCCCCCAAGGACGATCACGCCCTGAACTTTTCAGCCGTTGCTACGTGCGCCCCCCCCCCAAATGTTACAGAAGACGATTACATTCTGTTGAGATGGCCATAGCTATGTACACAACGTCGCAACGTAGGGTTGTCCCCAGCCGGGAGAGAACATGTAGATGTTTGGAGGGGGGGGGTTACTCCCAAGCATCCCAGTCATCGTCACCCTCGCCCACTTGAGGAGAGGTGGGCACGAGCTCCGAGTCCTCCTGAACGCACGAAGCGCGTTAGCAATAGAAAACACGCTTTTTAGCCATTCCTCTCATCCATTGCCGCGTACCACATCGAGCAGCACATCGTCGTCGTCGTCGTTCTCCTCTTCCTCTTCCTCGGGGGCGGCGTCTCCCGTAGGCAGGTCACCAGCCACCACTTCCCGTCCTTCGGCAGCGTTCTTGTCCTCCTCGCCCTGTGGGGCTGCGGCTTCCTCCTCCTCAACCGGGGCCACTTCCTCCGCAGAGCCTGCAAGGAAGCGTTCAGTAAAGTGAACCCAACCACAGCACCACAGGACCAGCAGACAAGACAAAAGGAAACGGGCGCGTACTCTTCTCTGCAGCATTGTGCTCAGCATCTTCGACAGGGGTCGGCTCGTCCGCAGCGGGCTCAGTGGCGGTCTCCGCCGCAGTCGCCTCCTCGCCCTGTGCCTCGGTTTCGTTGGTGGCGTCGTTGTCCGCATCTTGCTCCGCTTCTCTCTCTTCTTCTTCTTCTTCTTCTTCTACATCCTTCTTCGCTTCGTCAGTGGCGGCCTCGACACCTTCTTCTCCTTCCCCTTCATCATCTTCCCAGCCGCCCCAGTCATCGAGCTTATTGTCCAACTCAGCTCCTATACACAACAAATACAAGGAGAGAGAGGAGGCTGTGAGTTTTGGCCATCGTCAAGTGTGAGATGGTGGCGGTGGCCGCAACAACACGTACGCATGAGGATCTTCTCCCTGCGCTCTTCGTCCTTGAGCAGCTTCTCCAAGCGGTAGTAGTACCGCTCCCAGAACACGCTGTAGGTGAGCTTGGGAACTGCGCAGTGCACACACGCGCAAAGCCAGCTGGCGTGAGAAGCAGAAACATGGTGTGTGTGTGTGTGTGTTTGCGTTGACGCGAGAGGCTAAGGCGGAGGCGCGTACGAAGTTCGTTGTGGATTGCGCGAAGCTTGTTGTTGGCCGAGAGGAGCTGGCTGATCTCGACGGTGCGCGCCTCGAGGTTGAAGCCGGCCTTCCACTCCTTGAAGTCCTCCTCGTCGGCAGGCGGCTGGGTGTAGGTGTTGATGTCCTTCTGCAGCTTCTTCACGCCCTTCTCCCGCCTCGACTTGGCCCTGTGAGTGGTGCAGACACAGTGTGGCACGTGACGTCAGCACACCGCCAAGCGAACGCCAGCAAGACGAGGGCGAAGAAGACGGTACAAGACTTCTTCCTCTTCTTCGTCTTTGAGGCTATCCATGAAGTTGAAGAAGTTGGAGAGGCCGGAGGACGACGTGGCGGCAGCGCTACCACCGGCATTGGGCCGCTTCTTCTCGCCGCTCGCCGAGGTGGAGCTGCCGGCGGCACCCTCTTCCTGCTTGACCACCTCCTTCACCACGCTCATTGTGTCCTCCTTGATGGTTCGCGTGAACTCGGACAAGTCCTCCTTGTAAATCGAGATGATGGTCTCGGACTGCCGAGCGGCATTAAACACAAGAATCAGGATTCGCCCCAAATCCTCAGAATGTTGCATCCAGCAGGATGCAAAGAGGGGGGGCGAAGGATGCACCTGCTTCTTGACAGTTTGGAGGATGGTGTCGCCCCAGCCCCACCAGCTTGAGCTGCCTGCACCCTGCTGGTCACCTCCTTGCGAGCTCATCTTGGGCCAAATGCAAACGTTGATGAACGCAGCGTTTACTGTCTTCAATCTATCTGAACGTTTCTTTCGTTTGTTGGTTGTTTCGTTTGGCGGACGTCGTCAGCCCACCCCTCCTGCTGACGTGGCAAGAAATATTTATTTATTATTTTTTCAGGCGCCCTGCGTGGGCGGCTTCTTTCGTTTGACGAGGCCTTTGATGGCGTGGAAGAGCTTGTCCGCATGCGGCCCAACGTACCGGGCGATCTGCGGTCAGGTCACACACACACGAGAGAGGATGATGAGAAACGTTCATTGCTCTGTGATCAACCAACGATGCAGGCACACTGTACCCGCGGGGTGATGAGAATGTTGATCGCCCAGCGAAGCGGCACAAGACCCATTATATCCATGGCCTTTACCAAGGCGACGGTCATAGCAAACGTGACCATCCTGTCACGCAGCGAGAAGCCCTTCTTTTGCGCTGCAGGGCTATGATTGAGTGCCAACGCCGAACAAGAGCTGGACAAGAGGAGGGCAGAGGGATAGGTACCGTCTTCCTCTGTGAAGCCCACCAAACCTGCAAAGTGCTCGACGTCGAGCACGCCCGAAGCGAGGAGGCTGTAGGTGATGGCATAGGACGCAATTCCCAGCACCTCGTGCACCACGACAAAGGTCGACCCGTAGAGCATCAGCATCTCGGTCTTCCGCTCCTTAAACCGCTCGTACGCCGCTCGCGCACGCCTCGCCACCACCGTGCCAGCGTTTTCCTTCGCCTTGTCCGACGCACCGCGCCTCGCTACATGGTGCACGACCAGCGTTGGCCCGCACACGCTCGTCAGCGTCGGCCTACTCGCCGGGGCAAACGCGATGACGGCGCGATGGGCGGTCCTCGAAGATGGTGATGAAGAAGAGGAGCCTGGTGCCGACGTAGCCAGCGTTCGGCCCGCCACCCACCTCGAGGCCGAGTTTCGGGGGAGAGGGGGTCGCACCAGGGAAAGCGAGCGCATGGTGCCGGCGGCCGGGAGCGCTCGAGCATGCACACGGCCGAACGCATAAGAAGAGGTGAGCGCGGAGCCCACGGCGGCACCAGAAGAGACGCGACGCATGCTCAGTACAGCCGGGCCAAGGAAAGAAGAATAAAACAAGGCAAATCAATAAAATATGATAAATAAATATTGCCTTTTCCTTCATAAATCACAATCGAAATGGAAGGGAGCGGACCAACCGGCGAGTGTGCTGGGACGAGCGATTGCATGGGTGGCAGCAGAGCGAGCCCTCCTCGATCTACGCACCGCGGAGGCCTACGAGAGCGCTCATCTCAAGGGCAGCTCCTCGCTTCCCTGTTCCCTCCTCCTCGTGCGCAGTGCGTCTCCCCCCCCCTTCTGGAGCTCCACATGGGCACGGGCTGACATGAAGCGGCACCCTCCTCCCCTCTAGTGCACGAGATCCCTCCGCGCGGGACTGAGGTGGGTTTGCTCGGCGAGGTGCGGGAGGAGGTGGCAGAGGCGCAGAAGGTCTTGGTGGACCGGGGCTACCTCGTGTCAGACGAGGCGTGCTTTGTCACCGACGAGCTCACGCTGCCGCCTCCGCCTCCGTCGTCTTCGTGCGGATGCGACCACGGTCATGCCGACCACCACCAAGACACGAACAAGAAGCGACCCGAGAGTCACGACCTGCTGTCGTCGCCGTGGGTCGAGACGGGCGCCTCGTCGGTGCGGCTGTGGATCCCGTCCCCGCTTCTCAATCGTGAGACCGATCGCATCGAGTCCCTCCTGGCGAGCACCTCAGCAGCACAGGGCGAGCGTGTAGGGCGAGCGCTGGACATTGGCTGCGGCAGTGGACGCGATGCCGTGTTCCTGGCGCTACGCGGATGTACTACTGCTCCCTTGCTGCGATGCCTTTGCAGTACTGTGCCTTGGCTGCTGCTTAGCTGACACCCGGGCCAGGGGAGGTGCTGGGCGTGGATTACCTGGACCACCAGATCGAGAAGCTGCACGGGTTCGCGCAGCAGCACGGAGTGGCGGACCGCGTCAAGGGTGCGTGCATGGACGTGGAGAAGAACAACGGCCAGGAGCTGCTCGAGGCCTACCCAGAGCACTTTGATCTCGTGTCTGTCGCCCGATTCCTGCACCGGTACCTACATGCCCGCAGAGTACTCAACCATGGTAGTAGTATCTGTGCACCGTGTACTAACCCGTGCGCCTGTCGGGCATCATCGTCACGCAGCCCACTGATTCCCGACGTGCTGGCCAAGCTGACGAAGCCGGGCGGGATGGTGGCCTACCACACGTTCATGAAGGGCTCGGAGCAGTTCGGACGGCCGCGCAGCCCCAAGCACCTTTTACTGCCCGGCGAGCTGGCCGACAACTTCACCCGCATCGGGTGGGAGGTCATCGTCGACTCCACCGTTGCCATCTCCGACGGCAGACCATGCTCCTTCTTCATCGCCCGAAAGCCCTCTTCTTGAGCTATAATAAGATAACAAATAAATAGAATTTATAAATAAAATATGATTATAATTTGCTTTCTTTTATTCTGTTGTATTTTATGGTTCTTGCAAGGATGGACACACTTCCAGGGGAGATGGTGCTTGAGCTGCTCGGGTGGGTGCGTGCCAGCGACGTGGCCTCGGTGCGCCTCGTGTGCCGGCAGTGGCGGGACCACTTCGACGCCCACGACGCGCGGCTGTGGCGCCGGACCTATTTCCGCACGTGGCCGCCACCCTTGGCCTGTCCGTCATCCACCACCGGCTCTGCCACCTCTGACCCCGAACCGGGCCACAGCGTGGTGCCCGAAGTAGACTGGAGGCGTGTTGCTGTGCATCGCCTCTCCCTTCTGCAACGCTGTAAACCCCCCCCCCAACTGGCAGAGAAACGGTTGCAGACTGATCGGTGTCATTAATGTGTTGTGTGAGCCCAGACAACCCGCAGACTACGATGGCAGATGTGCAGGCCGCGCTGTACGCGGCAGCCGAGCTGGCTGGTCGGTACAGCGGCGGTGGTCAGCCGGCGGACAACAAGAAGCGGAAACGGGCTGATGCACGACCGCCTGCACCCCATTCCGGTCTGCGGGCTGGAGAGGAACCAGAAGAGGCGAACACCACTCAAAGAAAGAAGATCAAGACGGAAAAGAACGAACACGATGACGAGGGAGAGGATTCGAAGAGGCAAAAAGGCGTGAAGATGTGGGTTCGGGTTGCGAAGGTGGAGAACGAGGAGGAGGAGGAAGGGGAGGGCGATGATGATGACGATGATCTGTGGCTGCCGCCGCTGGCAGACCAGGCCCACATGGACGCTGTGCAAAAGGCCGTGGAAGAGGCCGAGGACAAGCTCGAGCGCCTGGGTCTCGCGGCGCGCCTGAGGAGGCAACTCGCCACCATCATCAGTGCCAAACACGAAATCAGGTACAACACCGCGGTGGTGCCCTCGCTCCCGTTACGTACCCACTACTGGTCTGTTAGGCGCTGAACCTAAGCGAGATCTCTGCCGTTTGGCCAAAGCTCTCTGAGTGGGCATTCGCATTGTGGAGAAGCGCGCCGCTTGCTCTTGCTGCTCAATCGGAACATGCTCTATGATAAGATCGACCTCACCACAGGGTGCCAGCCTGCCTAGCAATCTTCATGCTTGGCCAACAACAAACCTCTGGTGCTGAATCGTGTGCGTGTGTGCGTGTGGCAGAGACGGTGATGCGGACCACACCAAGGTGTCGGTGGTGATGTACAGCCTCGTCACGGGGCTTCCCCTGCGCATGACCTACTCCTCCCGGCACCTCACGTGGACCAGTACACACCCTCGACCTTCGCACTGTTCTGGTCGTGACGCTCACTGCTGGTGGTGGTGCTGGCGTTGGTAATGTGGTGTCGCTAGGCCTCGCAGGCGACAAGCTCGAGGGCAGAGCCCAACGGTTCGAGGTTTGTCCTCGGCGCTGGAGGTGGTGTTGTCAGACCAATGGATCACAATGAGTCATCGGTCGTGTGCGTTGTGTGTGTTTATGTGCGTGTCGTGTCGTGTCACACAGAGAAAGGACGGCGACGCTCCGATTCGAGCCATGCTGAAGCAGCTGGTGACCTTCCTCTTCGGCGAAGACCGTACCCACGTGTTCACTCCCGTCGATATGGAGCACTACCTGCAGTCCATCCTCGTGCACGAGCCCGACCACGGAAACTTCCTCTTCTTTTGGTGGCAGCTCGGCGACACAATCTAACAGCACAGCACCGCACCGCAGTGCCGGCTCAATCGTCATTGTTGTTGGTCTCGATATCGGACATCGCTCAGGGGCGAAGCAGCGAGGCGACGGCTTGGGCTCGTTCCTTGGGAGACAGAGCGGCTCGGGCGAGCGCGCTCTTTCGGGGGGACGGGCCGCTTCGCTGCTGTGGTGGCGGTGCGGGGCTTCGCGTCTTCTGTCGTTTGCCCGCTCGCTCGCCCGATGCGTCGGCTGATGGGGACGTGGTGGTCTTCTTCTTCGCCGCCGCCGCCGCCGCCGCCGTCGTCGATCGCTGCGGCGGCTGCTTCCTCTTCAGCGCCTGGCGACCGTTTGTTGCGTTGCTGGCTTTCGCTTTGGTCTTTTTGTCGTCTCTTCGCGCTTTCGCCGGTCGTTCATCTTCCTCCTCTTCTTCGTCACCTCCCTCTTGCTCTCCCTCCGAGTCTTCGGCTTCGTCATCGTCTCGTCCTGCCGCGCGTCGGCCTCTCGGACCTGCGAGGATGATGCAGAAATTGTTGCGGCCGAGGCCGCCCCGACACAGCTTCCGCTTGAACTCACGCGGCTGCATCGTACCGTCCTGGTCACGGCACAGCCAGTCAACGAGAGTCAGCCAACGAAGTGTGCCGCAATCGGCATTCGGTCACAAGCGAGGAGAAGGAGGAGGAGAGGCCTGGAGGGTGGGTACCTGAGCTCGCTCCTCGGCCGACAGTTTCCGGAAGACGAAGAAGCACAGCTTGGCGCTGGTCTTGGACTTGGTCAGCTCAAACCCGAGGGACTTGAGCATCTTCACGAAGCGCGAGTGCTTCATGTACCTGGTTCGATTGAAGGTGGAGAGAGAGAGAGGAGAGAGAAAGCGCTAAAGTCAGGCACCCACCACCATCAGTGTGGACGCGTGTAGGTGGTCCGGTACCGCGAGTTGTTGACGCAGGCCAGCGGGAGGACGATGAAGAGGGTGCCGCCGTCGCGCACCAGCGCCTGGCAGCGGACCAGCATTTCGCCCTTGCGCCGCGGATCGCCCACGAAGTTGATCACCAGGCTCAGCACCGCCACGTCGAACGGCTCCCGGCACCTAATCGGCCGCACCACCCACCCACCACAGATGCGTTGGTATGCGAAGCGTATACGCCTCATGGTGGCGGCAACGACGCACTCGCGAGAGAATTCGAAGAAGTCGGCCTTGATGACGGACGGGTGCTGTGGGTTGAGGTCGATGGCGGTCACGTCGAGCCACGCCCCGTGGTCCAGGTACTGGTTCTTGATCGCGCCCACGTCCAGCAGCCGCAGCTTCCCCTCGGCCGCCCCACTGTTCTTCTCGCTCTCGGCCGCGCGGGCCGCCCGCAGCTCCGAAACCACCCACTTCCCGGCGTTGAACTTGTGCTCGGGCGCCGTCTCGCCCACCAGACTGGCCTGCTGGTAGGCCTCCAGCCCGCCCAGCTGTGCCGCGCGAGAGGGTGGTGGTGGTGGGGTTAGTATTGCTGACAGCGGCAGGGTGGGCGGTACGCCACCTCGGCGAGCTGGCGGTCGAGCTTGCGGCGTTTGGCGGCGCGGTCGGCGGGGGTGAGGGTGGGGTCGTGGTCGAGCGACTCGCGGTACTTGTTGAGGGCGTGGTACTGCGCGATCAGCTGCGCGTGCTCCCCTCCGGTCACGTCTCCCTCTCCACCGCCTCCTCCTCCGGAGCTTTTCTTGCCGGTGCCGCCCCGCCTCTTATTCTTCGCCTTCGGCGCCGGACTGGTGCCCGTGCCGGGTGCTGCAGTACTCGGCGTCGCTGCCCCCAGCGTCACTGGCTTCCGCACGACGGACCTGCGCCCCATCCCACCACCTTCTTCCTTTTTCAGATAGAAAAGAATGTGAAATGCAAAAAGAAAATAGTAAAATGCGCGTTATGGGCGGAGTTGGACCAGACACGGCCCGTAACGGAGTGGTGTGTGGTTGGTTGACCGGCAGTCCGGTTGCCTTTAGTTTTTGTTTTGCCGCAAGTAAGGTCCCTCCTCTTTGTCTCGACCAACCCACCAGTGCCGCACTTCGGACCCACCGCCACAACCGCGTCCCTTTTGTGGTTCCCGCCAGCAACGCATTGCAGAGCGTGGCGGTTACCGCACGAGTCCATTTCGGCCACACACATGGCGCGCCTCTCTGGGGTAGCCAAGCAAACAGGAGCATGTGCACGCACGTCTTCCTCCGGCGGCGGGGATGAGGGTTGCTCACAGCAGCATCCATCTTCTTCTTCTTCTTCTTCATCTCCATCTGCACTGCACCACCCGCCAAGAACGGCAGCTGCTCCTCTGCCCCAACTTGTGTTCACCCCCGACAGCGACGAGGAAGACCACCAACACGGTGGTGCGGTGAAGGAGGAGGTGAGCGAGGTGGACCACGGACCCCGCACGACTCTGCTGGTGGCACCGCCGACGGCTTCGATCAGCTGCGAAGGCGTGGTGGTGAAGGAGCAGCCCTACGCCATCTCCCCGCGCAGGAGGGCAATCGCCAATAAGATGACGGCCGCCATCAACAACGCGGATGAAGAGCCCAACGAAAAGAACTCGTCGGCCTCAACGGCACTCCTCGATGAGGAGGAGGATGGAGGGGGCGGGGAGGTGCACCCGCACGAGCGAAGGGCCGAGTGCTATCGGCTGTGCACGTACGACGAGGCGCCGCCCTACCAGCAGGACAACCCCTTCATCCGGACGGGCTACCGCGTAAACTTCTCCGTCAAGCTCTGCCTCCAGAGCTTCTTCCGCCTCCACAACGGTACCCCACCTTTCAGCCACAAATGGGATTTTGATGATCTACAGATTTTTATTTATTCATCTTCAATCAAAGAAATCGAATCTAACCCACGTACGTGCAGAGTCCTGGAACGTGTGGACGCACTTCAGCGGGTTCGTGATCTTTCTGGTGCTGGCGGGTGTCGTCATGCAGCAGCTCGACTGGCGAACGCCTTCCGAGGCCCTCCTCTTCCTCGCCTTCTTCCTCACCGTCGAGTGTTCCATGCTCAGCTCCACCATCTTCCACGCCTTCAACTGCCACTCGCCCGGCACGTACGTTGCCTCCACCGCCGCGTTTGTATGCCGTGCGTGTGCGTGTGCGTGTGCGTGTGCGTGTGCGTGTGCGTGTGCGTGTGCCGTGATCTCACTTAAATGATGATTGTGTGCACACACAGGTACAAGTGGACGTGCAGGTTCGACTACTCGAGCATCAGCATGCTGCTGGTGGGGTCCTACTCGCCCATGCTCTACTATGCCTTCATGTGCGAGCCGGTCTGGCAGCGCCTCTACCTCTCCGGCTTCTGCATCCTGGGCGTCGTGGGCGTCGTCATCTCCTTCGTGCCCCTCTTCTCCACGCCCCAGTACACCATCCTCCGCACCGGTACCCCTCCTCCCCACAAAGCTCTGGCTCGTGTTTGTCGCCGATGACGCTAACACTCGGTGCGTTGTGCAACGGGTCAGGCGTGTTCGTGGCGCTGGGCTGGTCGACGATCCTCCCGCTGCCGCACATCATGTACCTGCACGGCGTGTGGCTGGTGTGGGAGGTGGCCCGGTGGGAGCTGCTCGTCGGGCTGATCTACACGGTGGGCGCCGTCATGTACGCCAAGCGCATCCCCGAGCGATGGAGCCCCGGCAAATACGACACCAGCTTCGTACGTCACTGCCACCTCTCCACTCCCTTTCGCACTCTCTTTCTCACCTTTTTTTTTGGAACGTTACGTGCCTGTGCGAATGAATGTGCAGATGTGCAGTCATAGCCTGTGGCACTGCTTCACGATTGCGGGTGCTCTCACGCAGCTGCACGCGTGCATCGCCGTGTATAATGTCTTCGGGACCATGCGCGCCTGTTCGTGAAGCCCACCACCAATCCCGCGCCCTGTATCTACGATTTTAATTTATTGTGACCATAAAATCAGCATATATTCACATCATGTAATGCACAACAGTTATGCAACATGTCACATGATCAAAAGAATGGCCAACTATGCTTGTTGGTGGTGGTGGTTGTTGTACTGAGGATGAAGGGGAAAAGTGTACAGTAGGGGATGAGTGGACTTCGCCTTCAGAAGGCGCGACCCAGGACCTCGTAGCGGGTGAGCTCCTCGGAGTAGTCGGAGAGGAAGTCGCTGTGTTCGTGCTTTACCCAATCTAGATAGAGCATGATCCTCCGCTCATGCGGGATGCTTCGGAACAGCCGCGCGAACGACCATCGGCTCACTCCTGCTCGGCCCAAGCAACACACGACACACGACACACAACACAACGCACGACACACGGCACACGACACACGACACACGACACACGGCACACGACACACGACACACGGGGCTTAGAGTTGGGGTTTGATTCTGGGCGGAGGAGGTGCTACTGACCTTCGGTGAAGATGCCGGCGAGGAGGGCCTGCAGAACGGCGGAGATGGGATTGAAGAAGCACGTCCACGGGATGAGGAAGGCCGCCACGAAGTAGTGGTGCATCGAAAATCGGAATCGGTTGTGCCTGTGGTGACAAAAAGGGTGAGCCGCGCAACCCGCAAGTCGAGCTAGGCCCATTACGATCTCTCCACGTCACGGCGAGGCGAGTGGTACCACAGCCCGGCGAGGCCGATGAGGTAGAGGAGAGTGACAAAGACGCCGTAGACGATGACGAACAGGACCATCGTGAACCAGTCGCCAAGGTACTGCCCATGGTCACCACCACGCACACATCCGTTCATTTCAGTTCACACGACGACACACACACGCGCGCGCGCACACACACACACACACCACACACACACACACACACACACCACGACACACACGGTACCAAGAGCCACAGGTGGAAGCCGAGGAATGGGATGAGGAAGAGCACGACCAGCGCCAGCGCGCTCATCTCAGCGCAGGTGAGGCGGAGCCAGTAGCCGGTGCTCAGCTTGGTGCCCAGGCGATTGAACACCTTGAGCTTCTCCAGATGCGAGTACTGCAGGCCCACCAGGAAGGGCAGCACGTAGAAGCAGTAGTTGTACTGTGGAGCATCGTGTCGATCGTGTGTGTGTGTGTGTGTTGTGTGTGTGTGTGTGTGGTGTTGTGTGTGTGTGTTGTGTGTGTGTGTGTTGTGTGTTGTGTGTCGGTTGAGTTCGCGAGCAGGCATTGATTGGTGCAGATGGGAAGTGAGTGGGTTACCAGCACGCTGAAGCCAAAGTTGTTCTGGTTCATTCCGAGCAGTCGCGCCGTGAGCTCGGCGCCCGCCATGTTGGGCTTGGTCTCGCTGGCGATCGTGTACACCGGTCCCAGGAAGAACAGCACGCAACCCGCCGGAATCAACAACAGAACATCCTGCGCGTGGGTCATCATACCGCCACCGTCAATCACACGACACACGACACACACACGACACACACACGACACACACACGACACACACACGACACACACACGACACACACACGACACACACACGACACACACACGACACACACACGACACACACACGACACACACACGACACACACACGACACACACGACACACACGACACGAAATCAATCAATTGATGATTGATTGGTTGAGGCGTAACAGAGGGGAGAGGAATGGTGAGTGGCGCGTACGTAGTAGGTGCGGGAGGGTCCCTGGAAGGGGTTGTCGCGCCCGCAGGTCCAGAAGGAGACGTAGGTGAAGCCGGCGAGGAGGAGCGCCATCCAGAGCGCGAACGAACTCCACGGCAGACAGGCGGTGTCGAGGTAGTCCACCACGAGCGAGTCTGTCTTGAGCTCCAGGCAGGGCACGAACCACGTGCCCACCGTGAGCGCGCCCAGGGCTGCACACCAGCAAATAATACAAGTTATAAATAAATAAATAACCAAATAAAGGGATAGATTGCGAAGATCTGTGTCTAAAATAACAAATAAATAAATAATATAAATAAATAATAAAAATAATGTTGATGACGAACCGAGGGCGTAGACGAAAAGGGCAGCCAGTCGGCGCCGCGGTGAGTGCCGTCGTTGGAGCACTGCAGCGAAGTCCCACTCGGCAGCTTCGCGTGCCAGCTTGGAGAGCTCCTCGGGCGGGATAGCGGCAGGGGGCGCGTCCTCGCCGCTCCCCTCATGCCCTTGGCCACCAGCTTCGTCTCCGTAATCTCCCTCATCTCCTTCATCTCCCACACCAGCGGCCCATTCGCCGCTCTTGCGGTAGGGACTTCGACTGCCCACGGCCCACGTGCCCGAGCCGTGGAAGGACAGGCTGTTGGGCCGACTGATGGCCGGGCTGCCATATGCCGCCACCCAGTCGTCCCCGTCTCGCTGCAGGTTCGAACTCATTGAGTGGTCCTACCTTCTTCCTCTTCTTCTTCTTTTTGTATCCGTTGCTGAGTGCCTTCGCCGCTGATTGAAATGGTAGTGCGTCGCTGACTCAGAGTCGATCTCTAATCGTTCGATCTCTCTTTCTCTGCCGCCTTTCCTCTTCCCTTTTCCTCTCGAGTTTTCGATGGCCTTTTCTCACGACGAAGAGGCTGAAGATGAAATGAAGTGAGGTTTAGTGTGTTATACAAAAAGTCGTGGTGGCGCCACCATCTAACACCCAACACTCTCTACTCGACCTTCTTGCGGGCGGGGCCAGCCTGCTGGGCGAGCTCGTCGTTCTCGGTCGCCTTCTTGGCTTCGGCCTTCTTTTCTCGGGGCGCGCGGGGCTTGGCGATGACGTAGGAGTCGATGAAGAGCTTGGTGAAGAGCACCATGTACGAGACGTACATGACGAGGCCGGCCATGTTGCTGAGCGGCGTGTCGTTGCAGCGGAGCACGTTGTGGATGACGATGCTGGTGCCGGCCACCATCTGGATGATCTGGAGCGAGGTGATGGCCTGGCGCGTGGCCTGGCTGAAGCGCACGCCGCGGGCGCAGGCGGCGTAGTACGAGTACATGAGCGAGTGCACGATCAGGTTCATGGCCGCGAACCAGCCGCCGTTGGGCAGGCTCAGCGCCCACGCGTTCCAGGCGTAGACGAGGGTCAGCGCGTGGTGGTAGTAGTGCAGGAAGATCAGCGGGCGCTTCCGCAGCACGATGAACAGCGTGTCCACCAGCTCGGGGATCTTGCTCAGGCAGAACAGGTACACCCACGGGTTCTTGGCCTGATTGATCACCACCGCCACCGCCACACAACAGTCAGTATTGGGTGCGCCCGCGACAAAAAAAGGAGCCCAGAAGAACGAAGACGAAATGAAGAACGAAGCGCAAAAATGAAGCGCATGGGTGCGGATAAGCCCGACAATCCCCCCCAACTGGTTGAACAGAGGCCCACAATTGTGGGTACTGCTCTGCGGAGTTGGGTACGAGGACCGGCCGGTGTGGTGGCCACGGCGGGTCCCGCCGAACTCAAGTGACGAGTTCGACACGCCGGAAAGGGAGAAGCCCGAGAGAGAGGGGGGAAAGGAAGAAGATGATGAAAAAGATGAAGACGAGGAAGGAAGGGAGTACCTCGGTGTAGTAGAGGCACATATCGGCGGAGGCGCCGGCGCCGTGGAGCACCTCCTGAAGGATGTAGGGCACGGTGGCAATGGCACCAAAGATCGAGAAGGCGGCGAGAAGAGAGTTCCACCAAAAGAGGGGACCGGAGAGGTCGAACGGCTTCCGGTCGCGCATGGCCCGCTGGAGGACGAAGATGACCACCAGGTAGCCCACGCAGAACGCGGCGGGCACCTCGTAGTGGTCCGCCATCCATCGGTCGGCCCTGCGCCAGTCATGGAAGCGCTCCAGCCACTGCAGCTCCACGTAGTAGCGCGCCGTCTCGAAAGCGGTCGTGTTGGTCATGGTGGTGTGTCGGACAGAGAGAAGAGAAAAAGTAATATCGCCTTTGTTGAAAGTCGGGTACGGGAGTCACACACGCCCGGGAGACACCGGGAGTCACGCACCAACCGGTTTCTTCGGATATAATCTGGCCAATAGGAGAATAGTTGAGGAGGAAACTGCAGCGATGAACCAGTAGCAGTGCTTCCCAACCTTCCGGCCACTTCGGCGCTCTTGGCCCAAATAGAAGACGAACCATGTCTGGCTCCACATTTATGTTTACTGTCGTGTCTCTTCTCACGGTTGGCCACACGTCGGTCATTGGGCTGCAGGGCTCTTCGTCGTTAAGAGAGGATGATGACGTCGTCGTCCTCTTCGGCCGTGACTCTCGTGATGACGGATGGCAGTGGCGGGAGGGGCACGGCTTGTCGAACGATCGGGGTGGCCGAGGGTTGTGCCTGCGCAGCTGTGGTTGGTGGTGGTGGTGACGCCAAGGGCTGGGGCGCTGTGGTCGGTGATGGCTTCCGCTCGGCCGCCACCTTCCTGTCGTCACCCGACGCCTTCTTGTCAGAGCTCTTCTTCTTCTCCTCCTTTCGCAGCTTCTTCTCCTCCTTCCGCTCCTTCTTCTTCTCCTCCTTCTGTTGCTTCTTTTCTTTCTTGTCCGCCTTGCTCTTGTCGGTGTCCCTCTTGCTCTCCTTCTGCGCGCTGTCCTTCTTGCCGTCCTTCTTTTCCTTCTCCTTTTCTTTCTCCTTCTCCTTGCCCTCGATCGTAGAGCCTCCGTCGGGCTTGCCGGTGGCTCGCTTCCTGTTCGATTTGATGATTGTGTTTTTCCTGCGGATGGAGAGCGTCATCACCACTAACGTCCAGGATGCCGCCCTGCGAGACTGGACGTCGCAAAGGCGAAGCGTGCACATGGGGGAAGAGCGTACTTGAGGATGTCGGCGCCCGTCATCTGATCGGCGGGCCAGAACTTGGCGATCTCATCTGCCACCTTCTTACGCTCCTTTCGGTCACTCAGCTTCAGCTCGGTATCCTTCTCGCTGTGTCGATGCGGGCACGTGTTAGCGGCACTGGCCCACTGCTGCGCTGGGCCTCTGCGAACTGGGCAAGAAGTGACGTACTGCAGCTTGTTGTGAAGCTCCACCCGGTTGTCCACCAATTCGAAGATGGTGCACAGGAGGTTGCCCGTCTCGCGGTCCCACTTCCACTTGGCCGTCGGGTTGAGGCCCCGCATTTTGTCGACCTTGGTCTTGAGCTCGTCCAGCAGGGAGTCTATCTTGGCCTCCAGTCTTTCCTCCTCCTCCTCCGTCTTACTCTCGAGGACGCGCTTCATGTGATGCTGCATCCACCCCGTCACCCAACGTGCTATTAGCAACCCTTGACCCGCAAGGTGCCGATTAGTGGGACACGCGCGGTACCTTGAGGGTGCGCTCGTTGAAGGGAAGACTCTTGATCAGTCGCTGGGTGACGTTTGCGGCGATGTGGCCATGCGGGTGCGTCTTTCGGGCCTCCAACGCCACCTGGTACAGATGTGCGTCCAGCTCTCTGGGCAGGCGCTTCTTCCCTCCCTCGGCAAGCGGATCTGCGCTCCCAAGAATTAGATAACAAAAGAGCAAATTATTGCATTCAAGGAGTGTTCCAGGGAGACGTGTACGCAAGGGAATAGCTCTCTCGAGGGCCTGGATTGCGGACTCGACGCTGGGGGAGAGCGCCTGTGTCGACATGCAAGAGATGTTAGTGATGAGACCATCAAGAGTGCGTAGTAGGAGGGATGCAACTCACCGCGGCGGGAGCCTTGGGCTTGGGAGCTGCGAACTGTCCGCTGCTTGCAGACGATGGAGATGCGGACTGGAAGGTAAGGGCCTGGATCTTACTGCCTTTCTTGCCTTCGCCCTCCTTGGCGGGGGAGGAGTCGGCGCTGCCCGTCTTGGTCTTCTTCTTCGGTCGCTCTTTCTTGTCCTTGGCATCGCCGCTGCTCTCTTTGGCTTTGATCTCCTTGCCGTCTTTGTCGAGCGAGCGCTTCCTCTTCTTCTTCTTTCCCTCCTGCTGTGTGGCCACACAATGCTCAGCATTAGAATGAACAGTAACAGGAGAAGAAAAAGGAGAGGAAGAAAGGAGAACGTACAAAGGCTTGTGCGCTGCTCTCGCTCTCCTCGCTAGCCAGCTCCAGCGTACCCTTGTTGATGAAGAAACCGTCGTGCTTCGTCTTCGGCGCATCAGAGTAGGTTTTCTGTTTGGGGGTATAAGTAAGGCACCACCGTCAGACCACCGTGGGCAAGTTTGCGGAAGAAGAATGGGAAAGGACAGCGCCGCACCCAATCGCTGTCATCAATGAACGAATCCTCAAAGTCGTAGTCGTCCTGTTTGCGTCCTTTGCTGTATTCCCCACCGTACATCCGCTCAATTCGTTCGATGACTCCAGTGTATCTGTTTGTCTTGGGACCAGCGGGCAGCATGTTCTCTATCTCTGATGGGCTCAGCTCCCTCTGTTGTGTTGTTGTGGATTCGCCTCCATTAGACCCGAATTGATCCCGAATTTCTTGCCGGCACGTACCTCCTCAATTTCATCCAAGCTGTCTTCTTCATCTTCATCATCATCGCTGGAGTCACTGTCCTCGTCGTCATCTTCTTCTCCTTCAAGGCCCTCCTCTTCCATCCCATCTTCGTAATCCTCATCTTCCGATGATTCGCCTAATTGTTCTCGATACTTGGCCATTACCTCGGCAATGTCCACAATCGTGGGCGCATTACTGTTCTTCCCACTGAGTAAAGGTATCTCGATGCGTATAGTGGGCTTGCTCAAGTGGTCCTCCTTCGGCTGCGCGATAGGCAGCACCGCCTCCATCTTCTTGCTCTCTACTTTTTGTGCCGAGTCCTTAGGGTGAGCGGCCCCTGCCGCGTCACTGCAGCTTTGGTCCAAGCTGCTGCCGACCCCGCACGACGCAGCACGCGCACCACTCAGACCGCCGCCTTTTTTCCCATGCCGCCGTGCAGCGATTCCGTCCAAGGCACCACCCAATGGGACATTCCACACCTCGGGGACGTACGTATCAGTCGATATGCACGAGGCGAAGGTGCACGAGCACCTACCCGATCACCCCCAAGATACTCGCCGGCACTGATGGTCACCAGTGCAATAAGACACCCACGCTGGCCAGCGCACGCCGAGAGCTCGGCACTGCGTGGCCACGCAGGGACAAAAATGTGGGTCGACAAATATTTCTCGGTCGACAGAAAGTTTGTACAGAAGACGAGGGCAAGCGCCATCAGCATCACGGGTAGGGATGATAGGTGGGGGAGGAAGGAGACGCGCCGGTGTGCTGCATCGGGGTCCTGGGTGCGCCAGCCCCTCGATTCTTCTTGGTGCGCTGCAGTCGGTCGAACTCCTGCAGCAGCCGATCGCGGTCCGACGCGTTGTCGTTCATGCGTGCCACCAGCTCCTCCATCCGCCTGTTCATTCGTTCCAAAAAGTCGCTGTAGTCTTCCATCTGTCGCACAACACATCCACACCCGCACGCGCATCCACATCCACAGCCACATGACGGTCAGCGGTCAGAACAAGCGCAAGTTGCACAAAGTGTGATGTTGTGATGTTGGGTGGCCGTGCCTGCTGCAGGTCGGCGGTGAGCTGTGCGACTTGAGCTTCGTGCTTGGACAGCTCCGCTTCGTACTTGAGGACATAGTCCTTCAACGAGGCCTTCTCCTCCTCCAAACGCGCGATCGCTGTGCGCGCACGGCAGGTGAGTGTGCACCTACGAGAGATCACAAAAAAGAGGGTGACCCGTACTCATGTCCTGCAGCTCCACGGTCGACTTGGCAGAATCGCTCGCCTGCGCGAGCTCCCGCATTCGCTCGCTCATTCGGTCCTTCTCGTGCCGCAATCCTTCGTTATCTACGGGCGTGCAAATATTTTAGCACACACTCAAAAGTCGTGCTTGACCACCTTGCGGCGCGCGAGGCGATTACCTTTGCGCAATCGATGGAGCTCGTTGTCTTGCAGCTCCTTCCCGCGCTGGAGCAGGCTGAGCTCCTCTTTCATGCTCTCCCACTTGGTGATGTGCCGCTGCAGGTGTTCCCTCACCTCTCGCGACTCCTCGGCCTTTCTTCGCTCCATGTCGAAAAGCTCTTCGTAGCGCTTACATCGTTGTTGCTGAAGTCACACCAACCGCGCGGTGAGGCCCTGTCTTTTTGCTCCCCAATTGGGACCCCACACCACCATTCACGACTTGACTTACCTCTGACCGCAGCGAGGTTTCGACGTGCTGCAGCCTGTGTCGCAGTTCCGCCACAGCTTGATTGAGAGAAGCGCTTTCCTCCTTTGCCTCGTCGAGATCCTTCTTGAGCACTGTACGAAGAATCGGGGCAGGTTAACAAAAAAAGTGGCCCAGGTCGCATGTTCACAGAAGGGAGGCGTCGGCGGTACTCGTGCTGAGATCGTTGAGTCGGCGGTTCGTAGTCAGCATGTCCTGCAGCTCCTTCTCCTTGGTGTTGAGCACCTGCAGCGTGTAGGCGAGCTTGGCCTCCTTCTTCTGGAACTTCTTCTGATAGAAGTTCGAGTCGGCAAGCAGCTGCCTGATCCTGTTCGCCGCGTCCTAGTTGGCCAACACGATGAAATGTTAGCTGACGAGCGATACTAAAGGAGGTGAGCGATAATAAACTACGCGCCTCGTTTTCCTGGCTCACACCGGTGAGCTGCTGCGAGAGCGAAGAGACCTGGAAGTTAAGGTCGTTGCAGGATCTCTGCAGTCGGTTCTCCTGCACGCGTTGCGACACAGAAACATGTCAGATCGTGAAATGCACGGCTAGAAGCCCTCCCCCCGCGACTGAGCCCAGGCCACAGGCACGCTCACGCCTAACGCCTCGCGCTTACCCTGGCGGTTAGGTCCTCGATAAGCTTCCTCGCTCGATCCAGCTCCCTCTCGCGTGCGGCCAGAGTATCGGATTGCACTTGACACTTCTGCTCGAGAACGCCCAGTGCCTGCGAGCGCCAGTGGTACCGGCATTAGGAGACAAAAAATGGAAGTTTTGCAGTGAGAGCGAAGGGCAGCTTTACCGTTTTGGTTTCGTGGTAGTCGTCGAACCGCTGCGTTCTATCAGCTAACAGAGCGTCCAGTCGGTTTCGTTCCTCCTCGATCTTTCGCATGTTGGTCCGCGCGTCGATCAGCTCCATCTCCAGCCGCTGCTTTTCCTTCTTCTTCTCGTGCAGCTGCATGATCATGTCGTCGGTCTCAGATCGCGATTCGCTATCTTCATAAAAGGTCTTGTCGGGCAGATAGAGAGAAAGAGAGGGTCAGAAACGTTCCGCATGGTTCGACAGGGTGCCATACATACCTGTGGAGCTCTCTGCTGCAGCTGTTTGATGATGTTGTCCTTCTCCGCCACAAGCAGCGAAGTGTGCTCGAGCTCGGCCGTCAAGAATCGAATGTTGCTCTCGAGATCCTTGATCAGCTCGTGCTCTCGGGCCGAGCTCCCGGGGGGCGAAGAGCCGACGGGCTGGTAGGGTGCGCGCGCCACGGGGGGCGATGGCGAAGACGCCGCGGCCAACTTGAGCTCGGTACGGAGCGATTCAACGTCCTCTTTGAGCTTCTTGACCTGCAGCTTCAGTTCTCTGTTCTCGTCTTCCGTGCCCTGTGCACGCGTGAGAATTGCACACTTACGTAGACGCGAATTTCAACGCAAAGGATTCCTACCTTGAGCTTGTCGTAGTATTCTTTGTTCTTCTTGTTGAGCATCTCCCGCTCAGATACGATTGTTTTGATGGAGGAGTTGACTGACTCGGCAAACTCTTCCAGCTTTCGGCCCGCTTCGCCCTTGTTACTGCATTCACACATCACGTGAGTGGACGTCAGATATCACACAGTGACACACACACACACACACACACACAGAGAGAGAGGAGGGCGAGGGAGGTGCATTACGTGCGCAGCTGCCGTTCTAGAAACTCTTTCTCTCGCTGGAGGGTGTCCACCTGATCTTCGAGGGTCCTCAGCTTCTTAATCTCGCCACTCACTTGGTGGCGGCCGCTGAGGCTCACGCTGATGCTGCTTCGTAGCTTTCGATCGTCGTCGCCGTCAATCGTCTTCCTCGCCGTGGCCGCTGCCAGCAAGCGGTCCCTTTCTTTCTTGAGTAGCTCGTTTTCCTGCTTCAACCGCGCCGTCGTTGTGGCATCGCTCGCACCTCGTGATTCATCATCGGTGCCGGCCTGCGCTTCCTCTAACACTCGCTCCAGCTGCGTCTGAAGCTCCCGGATCTGTCTGTCCTTCTTTTCTGTCATCCGCAGCAGCTGCTCGTTCTCTCGTATCAACCGCTCGTTAGAGCTCTTCAACAGTTTCGACTGCCAAGCCACAATTATTATAATAGTGTTAGAAATAAAATAAAAAAATAGAATAAAATAGAATAACAAGACGCAGAGTGGAGGCGGTACCTGGTGCTTGCAACTGTCAAGCTCATCGGTCGAATGTTCGAGCTTCTTGCAGAGCGCAGCCACGAGGGAGAAGCAACTGGCGGTAATCTCACCCGAAATGCCAAATTTGCTGCGTAGGCTCTCCTCCATTCGCTCTATGTCACTGTCGGTGGGGAGTTGCGGAGACGCCTTCTTGGATGAGGACCGGCTCGGGGCCTCTCGAGACCGCTTATAGTCCCCAGACGCCGCAGCTCCATTTCCATTATTTTTGGCCGTGTCGTGCATTCCACTTCCTCCTCCATCTTCCTTGCGGCGAGCACTCATTCCCAATGTGCCAGGTGTCCAATGAGCATTCACGCACCCAAAATCGAGGTTGACCCTGCCCAATACTCTTGATCAATGGAAATCTCTTCTCGATCCAACAAATCGCGAGAAAAGGCAGAGAAACGCGCGCTCGTTTGTGGCGCCATACCGGTTTGGCGCCTTTTTTGCAACGGCTGTCCGGAAATATCCCACAGGACAGTTTTCGTTTCTGGCAATTTATTTGGTGTTTTCGCGCACCATAAGCCTGACTTTCGCCTCCTGTGCATCATTCGGCCACCAGTCCCTCCTCATTCGTCTCTGATCGAGAATGCTGCCTGCCTCTGTGCCCATGTCGGGGACGCCGACCAAAGCAGACAAATCCCTGCGCTCGCTCTTCTGCGGGGCCGCGAATCATCTCACGCAGCTCTACATGTCGAGCCTCAAATTGGAGAAGGGGGCGACCAAGAAGGGCTATTGCCGAGCTGTTGAAGACTTGATCAAGTTCCTTCAACTCCAGCAACAGTATGGAAGAACGATTTCGATCGAATCGCTCGTAGATCATCTCAAGACGAAAAAGCGCGAGATTTTGCAGCGAGAGGATAACGATTTCGGCGAGGACGAAGATGAGCATGAAGAAGGGGATGAAACGCCAGTTCTCGGTGTTCCCCTCGGCGAGAACAAGTCTCCAGCAGCGGCCCCGACCCCGTTCGGTTCCACTACGCGCTCCCTGGCCTCCCAATTCGAAGGGTTGAGTGCGAGCGGCGGAGGTACATTCGGCTCCTCCTCCGACCACATGCCAAGGATGGGATCAGCAACGATCGGCGCCACTCCTGCTCCCGTTCACTTCGGCTTCGCGACTGCCCCAGCTGCATCAAGCACGCCGCTACTCCAGCACGCACCTCAGCACTCGCATGCTGGCACCTCCGCCTCTTCCGCGACCACTACGAGCGCGCAGTTCCCGTCGTCCACCTTCAGAGACGCCGTCTCGGTGCCCTTTCCTCTCTCCTCCTCTTCCTCTGCCAGCTCTGCCATCAACAACAGCAACAACAATCCGTTCGCCCCGCTCGAGCACGGCAACGGCATGGGACGGAAACGGCAGTACTTCGAGTTTTTCTTCGATGCTCCGCCCAACCTCACCGTGCCCTCTGGCGGCGCGCTGCCCGCCAACGGCGGCGGCTTCCAGTTCACGCCGTCGTCGCACTCCACCTCGACGTCCATCTCGCCCGCGGCTGCTCCCTCGTCTTCGTCTCTCGTCGGTTCATCGTCGGCCGGCGGCGGCGCAGGCGAGAGCGACGGCGCGATGGACTTCAGCTGCTACGAGCACCAGGTCAAGAGGTATCGAAGGGAGGAGGAACAACAGCAACATCAGCAGCACAATCCGCCACCACATCGCACGTCGGCCAACACCTCCTAATCCCTCCGCCTCCACCCTCCTCCTTGCCTCATCATGTACATAACAAGGCCATTGCTTCCCTCTTGCCCCTCCGCCCCAGCCTGTTCTCCAGTAAAGCCTCTTGTCCACCACAACCTTGTCAGCTGCTACTTGAAATGCCCATGCTGGTGCAGCCACACATGAAGAAAGAGAAAGAGAACAACAGCAGCAACACCAGCAAGCTGTCTCTTGCCAGACTGAGGGTGTTGGAGTTGAGTTGCCAGCACAACTTGACATTGAGCAGTGGGTACCAAATAAAATGACTGGGCTGAGTACAGTTGAAAATTCGCTGACAGTCTGCACACAACAACCTCAGTATCAAAATGCAGCTATCACAGGCAGATATCACAAGGGAAGTGAAGAGGAGAGTGCCCACAAACATTCTGAACAACATCATCACATTTGTGACTGCCCAAGAGCCAAAGCTGTGGGGACAAACTCAAGGTGCCCAGTTCATCCATTACTACATGCTTCTGGTGCTCTACAAGGATGCCTTTGCTGTTGGCTACACTTGGCTCTATGCAAGGGTGAAGAAGTGGCTGCAAAGCTCAAGCAGGACTCTGTGCCACAACACACAGTTGCTACAGACCTGCTTCAAGGAATGGGGGAAAACAAAGGTGGAATTAGGAAAGCTCAAGAGCTGGGAAAGGAAAGCAGCCAGCCTTGCACTCAAGGGTGTGGTCATGAAAGGAAGCCTGTGGATGGATAGCTTTGATGCACATCTCAAGGGGAAGAGCACTGTCTCCCACAAGTCCCCATCTTGGTTGTTCAAGTGCAATTCTCCCACACAGCAATTCATGGTTCTCCAAGATGCTGAAGGAGTTGTCTGCACCCTCTGGGGAGGGTATTCCCCCAAGGTTTTCAATGGAGACTTCCTCAAGATGAACCAAGATTGGATCAAGCAGTCCCTTGCTGGTGTGACTGTTCTTGCTGACAACCATTTTGAGTGGGCAAAGAAGCACCTCCACAGCATCAAATTCATCACAACCATCAGGTGAGCTCAAGGCAACTCTATGACCAGTGTGGGGCTGGCAACTCTGACCAAGGACAAGCAGAACTACAACAAGGATCTACACACAGCTCACACACAAGTGGAGGGAGGGATTGGCAGGCTGGAAGCGATCTTCAATGCACTCAAGTGTCCCTGGGGCAAGGAAGAAGACCAACAAACCTCACTTGGGTGTGCTGTGGGGATTGCCAATGTTAGGTGTTGAATGAAAACAGATTCTCTTTTTCTTCTTTTATTGTTTCTCATGTTCATCACCTTGACCTTGGCCCATGCACCCAACACAAAAAAAATGTACTCATGCCAGTCATTTTATTTGGTACCCCCTGCTCATTCATGAGACTCTCAGTGTCAACAGGAAAGCACCAGGTGGACCTGAACCTTTGGCCATGTGCCTCAGTATCTCATCCAGGATGTGCTCATCCAGCACTCTTGCCATGTTGTCCAATGACACAGGTCCCTGGGCTTGTCCCTGATTGTCTTTAGCTCCAGCTTGAGTGGCACTTTGACATGGGCACATGTGCATAGGAGGTGAGACCTATGAGAGGGAGCAGGCCATCACCAGCACACTCATTAATTCCACGCACATTCACCATGAGGTGTGGATAACCAGTGCAGGAGCCCACTGACAAACTGGCCAAGGGCAAACTGGGCAGAGTCCAACAAGAAGACAAAAGGCATCGATTATGAAAACAAAAAGTCCGAGTTTTCATTGGTGCGCTCCTGCCAAGTTAAAATGGGCCAGTAGGGTGTTGGCCATAGGATCGGCATCCGGATATTTTCCGAGTGGTTTCCTGAATTATTTTGCCACGTCCTCTGCCCAGCAAAGAACTGTGCCTCTTCTGTCTCACAACCCGGCAAGATGAAGTGGACAGGCAAACCAGAAGTTCGCTTCTTCATGCTGCAGCTCATGGCCACTTTCGTACAGCACCCTCTCTTCTTTCAGCAGCTGTTAGCCCTCATGCATCCTCGTCAACGGCCTCGCCTTACAGGTTGTGATGCTGCCACTGCCTTTTTCCACCGTTGTGGGCGCGTTCGGCCTCACCTGGCTGTCTGCTTTGGCGGTCGCCATCTATTTTGTGAGGTACAAACAACACGCCACTAACTCCACGACTGCTCCCTCACAACCGTCCATCTAAGTGTTGTTGTTGTG